GGCCCTCACACCAGAGGCAGAATGAGAAGATGGAAAAGTAGCGGGGCTGCACACGCCCGAAAGGGGAGCTCCGACAGTGAGTAAGGTCCTCAGAGACGACGAAGAGAGATGCTGGGTGCTTCAGGGTTTTGAATTTTCGTCACCAAAAACTTGTAGATCTACTGTAATTTGCTCATCAGTCCTCATTTTTGTCACCATAGAAAGAGAGACCATCCAAAGACGAAGCGGCTCGTCCCAAAAATTTCTCGCCAGAAAATATTTGCGGTGCTTTCCGGGGTCGAACTATGGTGGCTTCGGTGCTGGGAGCGGAGGAGATCGATCAGATCTTGGAGTAGAGACAATCCTCGAAAGTCGTGTCTGGGAAAATCCTTAAGAGCGCATGCATCTCACCCTATGCCGTATTATTTGTGTACTTTATATAATATTGAGATATCAATATACATATATATATATATATAGATATTAAAATAATATAAGTCGCCTCATATTCCTGGAAATAGTCACAATTTTGCATTATATAATCCTGAATTGCATGAGCATGTTCATGGTATTTTCCACCAATCATTTTTCAGTTTCCAGCAAGTTTCCTAATCCGAAAAATATATATGTGATGTCTTTAACCAGAGGTGCAACTCCTCCATCGGTATATGGTTTGAGAGTGGTCACCCATCACCTCAGTTAAAGCGGTTGGACTACACTAGTATGATGTTGGTAATAGCTCAATCATTGCAGAGGCACTGCATGAATATGTGACAGTCGTTGTACCCGAAAACTTTTGACCTTGCTCTATGCATCTTGAGATTCTTTTTGTTTTTTGAAAAAAGCATCTTGAGATTCTTGACATATCCAATAAGAAGCTTTATATTTGAGTAAGAATGTTCAACTGTTATTATAGTATTTGTTGATCTTTAACGAATCAGTTGTTAACTACTTTACACTTATTTTAAAACTCTAAACTAAAATCTTCAAGAATTCGTTGGAAATTCTTAAACAAATTTATTTAAAATAAATATTTATATGACTGCATCGGAAATTTGTAAGAAATTCCCAACAAATTTATCCAAAAATATTTTTCCCTAATTCCGTCAAAAAATCCTAACGGATTCATACAAATATATTAAAATAAAATTTATTTAGTTTTATGAAAATGTTACGAGAAATTTATTTAAATAATATTTTTATTTAGTTATGTTGGAAATTTGTTGTTAATTCCTGACGAATTCCCAACCTAAATCCATGTTAAATAAAGTCATAAATGACTAGAGGTAGATTGGTTGAGATTTATCTCCCTATTTTAGTTTTATATATTTTTAAATCACTAGTTTTTTACCAATCATGTTGTACCATTATTTTAAAAAGTTAAAATCTACGTCATGTTTCTACTAATTTTTACCAATCATGCTTTACCTTTATTTTAAGGTACAACAAAATAACTAAAGCAATTTTTTTCTCAAATGTATTTTAGGTAAAAGTTCTACATCCTTCTTCTTTAGGCCGTAGAATCTATCAAATAAAAAAACTATCTATAATATCAAATAAATTATATAATCATAATAAAAATATCTATAAATGTTCTAATTTATTTTTAGGGTTTTTAAATATTGAAATATTAAAAGAACATAAATATTATTTACATATCACATTTTAAATAAATTTTGATAATTTATTTAAAAATATTAATATAAATTGTTTTAATTGATAAAATAACTGTTTTATATACACATCACATATTTTTCACATATTTTATTTTAAATGTCTATAGCCTATAACTTACAGCTACAACAAATTTAACTACAGCAATAATTTCTACAAAGAAAAATCTACAATAACAACTTTACAGATACAACCAACTTATGTACAACTAAATTTTTACACTTCCTGTCGAACCAATCATTACCTATGTTTTCTGTAATGTTTATGCTATTCATCCAAAATTACAGACCCATTTTTTAAGTCACAGTTGGGACTTTGGATGCTACCCACTAGCTCGGGTTAGCCTAGGATGTTAAGGCCAATATTCCTAACCACATGATCTGCTGTTGCAGTCCCGTGATATTAGGATCATACCAATCCATGCTCGAAATAGCGTTTTCATTATCATATATGTGCATATATATAAGAAAATTGATACAAGAAAAATCCTTTATATACTAAAGCGCAAGTCGCCTGGCGAATCAGAAACTGACACATGGAAATTCTTTGTAAAATAAACAAAAACAATTGATTAAAATAAAATCTCTTTTTCAATCACTAATTTTAAACAACTACATCCTATTTTTAGTCTGATAGATCTCAAATGAGTTGCCCACGATTTTAAACTGTTGCTTTTTCTTCTTAAATATTTTACGCTGGAGGAAACACTGTTAAAAGCAATCTGTCTAGCAAGAGAATGTCAGGAAGCTCAAGTACACCTACAGAACCAAAATCATTCTACTTCACCATCGGACGTAAGGTTTTCAACTAGGTCCGCAACACTGCTAAACCCTGAGGAAATCATCATCCATACTGATGCGGCATGGCAAGCAAACTCCAAAAAGCAGGACTAGGATGGATCTTCTCAAATGCTACAGGCGAAACCATATTCATGAACAGCAAAACAGAGGCATTTGTATCTTCAGCGATAGTGGCCGAAGGTCTGGCCATCCGTGAAGCCTTGGTTCAAGCTAGACAAATGGGCTTCACCATCTTGAAAATCTACTCAGACGCTCAGGCTTTAGCCAGAGCCATCAACGATAGAACTACTCTTAAAGAGCTGTTTGGAATCATCCATGATATCCTTAAATTGTCTCTTGAGTTTTCTGTAATTTCTTTTAGTTACATTTCTGGCTCAGACAATACAGCGGCTGATAACCTTGCAAAGGGTTCTCTGCTTGCTGCGTCTTGTATTTCGTCAGTCACTCTGTGACTCTTCCTTTGATCTTAATGAAATGCAGTTCAAAAAAAAATATTTTAAAACTGCTAATTTCTTAGCATCATCTCTCTTTTTTCTCTCTGTTCAAAGCTTTTGTTATTCATCTCCTCGATTAATAGTTTAAAGTTCATCATGACAAGATTTTTGATCGCAACGGTTGAATACAGTTGTCTTTGAACCTCTTTCAAAGCATAAAGTGGCTTGTGGCAGTGGAGTTTTGTTTTGAATGTGTTCTTTTCAGTTATTTTTTAGTCACCAAATCCAGATTTATATTAAGATACATTTAGTTTTGTTATTATGAAAGAAATCTTTTTTGAAAAAAAGTTAACGGATCTTTTTTTTTTAAGAAAAAAAGTTATCATATATTTTTGAAAAATCATACGAACATGTACCATCTTATTAGTGCAACACTGCTAATATTACATGCCATTATTCATATAATATTTTTGTAGGAAATTTATTCTTATTGAAAATATGACAATGTTCAAACAATTTAGAAACAGTAAATTGACGCGTGCCGTGCATAGCCGGGCGGTAACAGTAAATTGACGCGTGCCATGCTAATCTTGTTTATTTATCATATTTTTAATATTTATATATAATTTATTTATAAATAAAACGAATTTATATGAATATATCATATTTTTAGAAAATAAGATAATTCTTTTGAATTAGTTTGTTATCTTGAAATATATTTTATATATAAAACTTAAATTTTAAATTAAGATATAAAATTATTATATTTAGTATATAACTAAAAACAATTTATATAAATACTTTTATAATTTTATGCAATAAGATATTTCTTATGTATTATGTTGTTATGCTGAAAATATATTATCATATTATAAAACTTAAAATTATATTATTAATAATTAATATAAATCATCAAAACAATTATTTGAAAAGTGAATTTGTTGATTTTTCTCCATGATCCTAGGTAATTTTGATAATTTATCAGAATATCTCTCATTTTGTTTATGATTGATTATATAATTAAAACTAATTTCTATTAATAATATGATATTTTAGAAAATTAATTAATTTTATGTATTATGATGTTATCTTGAAAATATATTTTTCTATTATAAAATTTAAAAATAACATGTAAAAAATCTTTACTATTATTTAAGAAGTGAATTGCTGATTTGTCATATTTTTCATGATTTTAGGTAATATTTATAATTTATCATAATTTCTATAATTTTCTACATAATTTATTATATATTTAAACTAAATTTTAATTAATAGTAACATATTTTTAGAAAATAAGATACTTCTTATGTATTAAGTTGCTGTCTTGAAAATATATATTTTATATAAAAATTTTAAAATTACGATATAAAAAATTTACACTAATAATATTATACTTTTAGAAAATAAGGTAATGCTTATGTATTATGTTGTTATCTTCAAAATATTTTTTTTATTATATAATTTAAAAACAAAATAGAAAAAATATCTATGATTAATTAAATATAAATCATCACTCAAGAAAATTATTTAAGAAGTGAATTTGCTGATTCATTAAATTCTCCATGATTTTTGGTAATTTTAATTATAATTCATAATTTCTATAATCTTATATAATTATTGTGTAATTAAACATATTTTCATATTATATTTTTAGAAAATAAATAACTTATCCATTATATTGTTATCTTAAAAATATGTTTTTCTATTATAAAATTTAAAATTAATATATAAAAATTTATAATTAAATATAAAATAGTAAAATATTTGTAAATATTATAATTAAATATAGATCAAGAAAATAACTATAAAAATATATTCTTTTTAATATTTATGATGTTTGAGTTTTTCCATTGTTAATTATTTGATGTTTGATTTGTATTTTTTGAAAACATAAATAATAAATTATTATGCTGGTTTTTAAACTAATAAAACATCAACTAATAAATATTCATAAGAGAATTATGCCCGCAAGTGCGGGCAAAACACCTAGTTTATATGTATATAGTTCTATAAAACACATCATACGGTCACAACTTCTTTTGTTAAAATCTTTTTTTTTTGTTTGATAAAAATTTCTTTTGTTAAAATCTTATATAAGAAAAAACAATATCAATCGAGACACCTTTTAAACTTAAATTCACTTCCACTAACGTTACAAAAGAAATTCACTTTTCACAAGATTATTACAACAATATTTGATTGTGAAGCAGAGAACTTATATTAAAACCCAACGCAAAGTACATACGTGAGATTTAACTTTATGACCTCACTTACACTTATTATTTCATCTTAAATAACAACGTCCGACATCATGTGCCACGTTACATGTGTGTGCATAGAGCTTTTTAGCAGCCAAGGTTAGGACCAGGGTCGACACCAAGCTGTCCACAATAGTTTCTATAGTACCTAATCCTTGCATTGACGGCATCCGTGTTCCCACGGTTACACTCCATTCCATTGATGGCTCTTATGGTCGCTCCAAACCCTTGGTTCAATACCGGTCTTACGCTATTCATCCAAAACCAGAGAGCTGTCCTGAAAGCCACAGTCAGGTTGCTACCCACTAGTTCTGGCTGGCCTAGGAGGTTAAGGCCGAGACTCTGGCCGCATGGTCCGTAATTGTAGTTCCATGATAATTGGATTGGTCCCCGACCGTAGTAGCCTTTGCCCGGTGCGCATGGGTATTGCCTGTTGTTCTCGTCGCAGTAGTCTCGTGACGCTCCGTTTATTTCTTCTATATAACAGAAGTCTACACGATACAGAGATGCACATGAAACAAAGTGATTTATAACAATCATTACAATTTAAGAAAAAGTCAGTCCGTCAATTAGTATATATGAACGTTTAAATATATCATGTCTTAGTCCATTATTGTTTTTAACACTTAAATGCAAACGTTAAGAAATATCGATCCAATCCTTAGGTTTTGAGAAATAACTCACTCCTTTTATGCTATAGTTTACTATAAGTTAGAATCAGTAATAACGACTAGGATAGATGTAAGATGATGTACAGACAAAAAATTATTAAAAAAATTGGATTAAGATAGAAAGGAAGCTTACGTCCGGTCTCGTGAGTGAAATGAGCAAACATGGTTGCAATTTCACGCCTAGTAACGGAATTAGCAAAGTTTGGAAATGTATTAGCAGCGTTGATGAAAGAGTCGCGGGTGTAGAATCTTTTCCCGGCACAGCCATTACCGGCTTGGTTGATAATGTTGTTAAAGAAGCCATGTGTCACAATGCTGCTGACTGATCCACCACCAGAAGGGGTTCCACTGCCTCTACAAGGACCCGATCGGCACCCGGCACCGCAATATGCATCAGTTGTACCGCAATAACCGTACTGACTGCAACAGAAGTTTGGGGCGCAACCACAGTTCTGAGACTTGACGGTTTCAGAATAGAAACCTAAGAAGAACAGGAGAAGGACTGAAGTTATTTTTGTGAGAGCCATGTTTTGTATTTCTGGATGGGAAGAAAGAGACCAAGGTTTGTATTATATATAGGGATAAATGTTGGCTAGTTTGGTCATTTGCTCTGGGATGGGCAGAAATAATTGCTTCTCTCTCTAATAATACAGATATAGCCTCATATAGGTTTTCTAAAACGGGTTTGACTTTTAGTCTAGCTCTTTCCTAACATGAATATTGTGGACTCCGTCCAACAATTCGATTTTACTCTTTCAAGCAACATAAATATGTTACATTAGTGATATAGTAGGATTATGCTCGGTGCTATGAGTAAGGGGCGTATTTTATATAAATGTATTCTCAAATTTTTCATAATAAATTTGACCTATATATCTCTGGAAATCGTCATGGCGAACGAACTCAATCTATTTGAAAATTACTATCGTGTATCATTAACAAGAAGTGTCATAAGCCAAAATACATTGACGAGGAGTATATCCGAATATGAATTTTTCTTGTCTGTCGATTTTCAGTTGATTTTTCCAATTAAGAATTTCAAGCTACAACATAATTACTCTTGTTTGTTTATTTACAATGGCAGATATGCATAATTGAAAGAAAACAAAAAGAGTCCTTAATGTTAATAAGCACTTGTGGTAAAGAAAATTAGTGTGCCTTTTTTTTTGTCAACTAGTGTACCTTTTTAGTATGTTTGAAAACATGAAAAATATCTCTACTTCAATTAAAATAGAAGAAGGAAAAATGATTATCTCTACTTCACTTAAAATAGAAGAAGGAAAAGTGATTGTCAACTATATATATTGCATGACAAGATGAATTAACAAGTAGTATGTTGCTAACGCCCCATAATTCTAAGGGCAAAAACATGTAACGAATCCGCTTTAATGTCCAATAAAAAGTATAAGAATGTTATGAATCAGATCGTGGATACCCCATAACTGAACTGACCATAAACTTATTGCATCGAGGTTTACTAGGGTCTGGCAGCTAGAAGCTTTTTCCATGTTGGTTTTGGATGTTTTCCTTATCTTAGTTGCAATAGGATTTGTACTCTTTTTTTTCTTCTATTTGACGGTCTATTGTTACCAAAAAAAAAAAAATGACAGTCTATTGTAATCCATATATAAAGGGAACCCTCACTTTATGAAGATAGCAATACACGAATTCCCATTCTCTTTTTCTAAGTTTTACAAAATGTTATCAGCATGATAGCCTCTAAATCCCTAAGCTAAAGATATGACACATAAACCCTAACCTCACAATCTCTCTCTCTCTCGATCAAACCCTAGACGACAAGAACAAATCCCGATCATCCTTTGATCATGAACGATCTCAGCTTGCTCCTCGATAATCTTGATCTGTGTTCAATCCGATCCAGCAAGTTCCAGCTCACGAGGACACACAAGCCGCAAGGACATACACCCGTAAGGACACAAGTTCCAGCTCGCGATTTTCTCTCTTGGTGGTCCATTCAAGACCGGTGGTTTAAGGTAACCCGAAAACCCTAAATCTCAAAACCCTAATAAAAATACTAATGTTCAAATCAAAACCTTATTTGATCCGATTAAATGTTTTGAGAACTTAGAAAGTAAGCTAGGTTGTTGGTTAGATTGATTGTTTTACATGATTGATTGTTTTAAGAACTAACCCTAATCGCATACATGAAACCCTAATACTAAAAACATGTTTGATTCTTGTTGATTGATCCGATTGTTTTGAGGTTATGATCCGGTTGCTAGGTTGATTAGATTGATTGTTTTAATTAATGCTCTAAATCGAATGCTAGGTTGATAAAAACTGTCTCTTGTAAGAACCCTAAAACCCCAATATGTTCGTTTTGATTATTAATCCGATTGATGGGATCTTAAACCCTTATTTGAAAACCTAATGGTTAAATCGAATCCCTAAATACTGAAACCCTAATATTGCTTTGATTGATCTGATTGATTTAATTCTTTGAGATTGTTAGCTAGATTAATCGTTTTCATGGATTGATTTTATTGAATGATTTAAAACTCTAAACCCTATTTGTGTATTGCATATTATTTTGAATCCATATTGCTAGTCTTGATAAACCCTAATCTTATGAGCACATAGAATCCTTGTTGCTAAGTCCTGAACTTGATTGATTGATAACCCTGATTGAATGTTTCTTGAGAGTTAAGATTGTATGCTAGATTGATTGATCCATTTTTGACCTAACCCTAATGTTAAAACCCTAATCATAAGTTTAATCCCTAATTGAATCCGAATTGCTCATACTTGAAATTGATTGTCTTTAATTAAATATGCCACATGATTGTTACATGATACACTCATGTACATAATAAGATCATGACTGCTAGGATTATTGCATCATCTCATATGGTCGTGTGGCTTGTTAGCATTATACCATCTTGACCGGATAAACGCATATATAAATTTATAATTTAGGATTGTCTTGCATATCCGTATAAACTGATTGTTTTATGGCCACATATAGAAACTGACTATTAGGAATGTCTTGTCTCGTTTCTCCATGTGATTTATTTGATAAGCATGACTTGACTACTTGTTTACATTACTATCCGTATGGCTTGTGATATCATGTTTGGTCGAGAGACATGTCTGATAAAACCGTATAACTTGATTGCCTTATGATCGTATGGTTTGTTTGCATGAACAATATATGAAACCCAAATATTGAGTGATATATGATTTCAGATGTCAAAAATCAACAACTTGGATTTTGCTGCTCTGAATCTCTCTGGAGATAATTATTTACAGTAGACGACATTGGGTACAAAGATTATCCTGAAGTCAAAAGGACTTGGTGAATGTATCACAGAAGGCAAATAAGAAAGATAGATACATGGCAATATTAATTATTCACCATCATCTTGCTGAGGGTCTCAAAGATCAGTATCTGACTATTGAGATTCCTCTAGACCCTTGGAAAGAGTTTAAAAACGAGATATGATCACCATAGAACGGTGTTGTTACCAAAGACTCTATTTGATTGGAGGAATCTCAGAATCCATGACTACAAGTCCGTGGACGAGTATAACTCATCCCTATTTAAAATTGCTTCTTTGATGAAACTGTGTGGTGAGGTTAGAAAAGACATTTTTCACCTTCCACACAAGTAATGTGTTGCTACAGCAACAATATCGTGAAAAGGGCTTCAAAACTTATGCAGATCTGATCTCATGTCTATTGCTAACTGAGCAAAATAATGAATTGCTGATAAGAAACAGTGAATTGAGACCTATTGAATCAACCCTATTACCTGAAGCCAATAAGGCCATGGAGGATAAGAAAGAATCCAAAGAATTTAACCACGTCCAGAGTAATAGACCACACAGCAGTAACCGTGGTGGATGGAGAGGACGTGGCCATGGCCAATACAACTCATATGGCCACGGGAACATCTACGGCAGAGGCCGTGGTCGAGGTAGAAGCTGTGGTATTTCTAAACCACAACACTCGACCAAATCAGTGTGCCATAGATGTGGAATGGATAACCATTGGGCTAAGACATGTAGGACTCCCAGACATCTTTGGGACGTCTATCAAGAGAGTAAAAAAGGGAAGAATCCAGAAGTCCATATGGTCCATCAAGATGGGGAAGATGATTTTGATCATTAACAAGATGACGTTATGGAATATAAACAAGAATAAGGCTGATTTCGACATCAAATCTTGTGTTTACTTTGCTTTTATGTTTTTTTTTGTCTTTATGATTTCTTTGAGTTTACTTTGTTGCCTTGTCTGATTTTACTTAATAAAATGAAACGCCAATATAAGCACAAATTGCGGGTATAGCCAGCCTAAGTTAGGGCTACGGCCAGGCATGTACATTATTTCCTGAAGGGCACGTATCAAGAGATATCTGATGCTTTATATTCACCCAGAGAAGCTTATTGAGTTACTAGTTTCCATATAGAAACAATGGGCGAAGGAAACAAAGAGTTCCTTCCGACATAAAAATACGCCCAAGGCCATAAGAAAGTGGTCGAGACTATACATGCATTCTCTACTGGACTTTACTATGCCAAGATCAGTATGATAGAGGCTAGATGCCGAAGTGAACAAAATGTTTACTAAGAATTTCACTTTATGGCATGACCGGCTTGGCCATCCCAGTCCAAACATGATGCGTAAATTGATAAGTAATACAAAAGGGCACACATTGAAAGAATGAAGAGTTGTCTCGAAGAATCTCACGTGTGTAGCATGTACACAAGGGAAACTCATTAGGCCATCACCAGTAAAATGGCTAATAGCCCATTTTCAGATTTTCTTTTAAGGACTATACGTCTAAAATATGCTGGTGAATCCATGTCCCAAGCGTTTAATGATTATAGTATGTCCATGGGGGGGGGGGGGGGTGGAATATAAGTTTGGCGCATGTCCATACATAAAACGGCTTGGCCAAATCTTTTATTAAACGCATACAGCTGATTGCTAGACCATTACTCATGAGGTCAAAACACCCAGTCTTAGCTTGGGATCACAAATTTTACATGCATCTGAGTTAATACGCATCAAGCCATCTAGTGAGCATAGATATCCCCCATCTCGATTATTAACGGGTCAAGAGCCAGACATCTCCCATCGTAAGACATTTGGATGAGCCAATTGCTACACCACAGAGAAATAAGATGGAACCTCAAAGGAGGATGGGGATATATGTTGGATATGATTCTCCCACGATTATTAAGTACCTAGAGCCGACTATCGGGTGATCTATTTAAAGGCCAGGTACACGGATTGCAAGTTTAATAAATCCGACTATCTAACATCAGGAGGAGAAAATAATAAGCTGGTAAAAGAAATAAGAATGAAATCAACCATCATTGTCTTGGCAAGATCCTAGGACTAAAGAATGTGATTTAGACGTCCAAAAGATTATACATTTACAAAAGCTAGCTAATTGATTGCCAGACTCATTTGCTGACCCAAAGAAAGTGACTAAGTCATATATACCAGCTTGAAAATGCACCAATACATTTTGAAGTCCAAGAGGAACCTAATCAAGTTG